AAACGTCAGCTTTCCTGCTCCTCTGATGCTGCTTGGCCTGCTGTGTTCATCCAGCTCTACACCTTGTTGTATAAGATTCTCCAGCATCTGCAGTTCCTACTATCTCTCTCACTAATATCCTGTACAACCTCAACATGACATCCCAACTCCTATATTCAATGGTCTGAGCAATGAAGGCAAGTGTGCTAAGTGCCTTCTTAACTACCTTGTCTTAGTTAGGTGTGAATATAGGGAGCTAGGAATCAGTGGGGTGTGAGTTTTATGGCGTGTGTTAACTGAAATAAAGTTCTAACCAATAGTGTGGACTCAGACCTCTGTTCGGAAACATTTGTTGTCCAATGCATAATACCTTAGAGCAGAGAGAACAATGCAACAGAACAGAAAGCATAATCCAAGCTTCTCTGATGTAACACTGGATACAATGGTGCATATGAACAGGAGAGGGGCTCTTTGATCACAAGGAACCAGAAACATTAAGTACGCGGAGACCATTGATAGCCATCGCTACCTAAGTAGTCTGGCACCATCAATCTGATTGCAGCATAAGAACTATTTGATGACCTCAGTTGAGTTTAATGTCAAATGCTTTTCTTCACAAACCATTTCTTTCCAATCAAACACTCTCATGCCTCGCCGTTCCCTTCTCCCCACTTCACTCATTTGCCATCATTCTCTATCAAGTATCACACACGTTCATAGCCTCATCTCACCCTCTCACACTTACCACTGCTGCCAAGCTCACATTCACATCTCCCAGCCTGCACACACTGCCGACTATTTAAATATGACATGCCTATCATTCAAACACACTGTACGCACCGGATGACACACCATCCTCAAGTCAAGGGGCACCAAATACACAAATAGCAATATTTAATCAGCAGGAGACAGGCATGTCTGGATGTTCTTAACCCCGAGAGATGCTGCCCGTCATTGGCAAAGACACAAATCAGCTTGTGGCCAGTAGCAAGTTTGAAACCATAGAAGGCTCCTGTTTGCTCCTGGCTGATCGAGCCTCTCATATCCCTCTTCTACTTAATCATACGATCTCTTCTGATTTACAGACACTGATGGTTTAAGCTTGCATTTTCCCTCCTCCTTTCCCAACAACTTTACCCTTATATCTTTATCCTTCCCGATGCCATGACAAATGGCATCGCAAAAGTATTGATGCGGAAACATGTCATCCAAAAGGAATATGACACTGATACTGAAACATCATCACTCACTCTCACAGTCACCGCCACAGCTCAGAAACTGGCACAGTGTAAATTTAAGAGGGCAATTAAATTAAATTTAGAGGGGAAAGATTTAGAAGGGACCTGAGAGGCAACTTTTTCATGCAGAGGGTGCTGTATAGATGGAATGATCTGCCAGACGAAGAAGTGGAGGTTAGTACAGTTACAATATTTAAAAGACATTTGGACAGGTACATGGATAGGAAGGGTTTGGAGGGATATGGGCCAAATGCAGGCAAATGAAACTATTTCAGTTTCGGAAACCTGGTTGGCATGGACAAGTTGGGCTGAAGGGCCTGTCTCCACGATGTATGACTCTATGGCTCTAGTGTAGACATGGGATCTGTACGTAGCCTGCAGCCAGGGAACAGGAAAAGGAAAATGTAAGTGCTGGTTCCTTGGTGGTCAAAATTTCACTCAAGTCTTGTTGCAAAAGGCTGAGATGCAGGTTTCGATGAGGTGGTCACTCAGACTTTGGTTGGTGGGTGTAGCACATTGAAATGCTTGGTCTAATGGTAGACCTACCAGGAAGCGCATTGTCACTGTCAAGGAATTCAGCACCAACCTGACACAGGCCTTTGTACAGAAATCCATGCCCATTCTTTCCAGCTTAGATGTCGAAGTGAAAGCAGCTTTGGATTCAACTGTTCGGCTTCTACTTGATGGTTGACATTTCAGTTCCTTTTCCAGCACAAGCTGGAGTCACACAGTGCAAGTTCAGAATGAAGAAATGAAATAATCTGTTACCATTGCAGGACTGGCTTGCTGTGGACGATGAACTGGGAGGTGTTATGAATGTAACCATGGTCCAGCCTGGTAGGAGCCCAGAACAAATGATTTCAGGACAATGTTTACCTTTATAAACACTGACAGTGGCAATGATAGCTACTGGCTTAGATTGAGATCTGAAGAAGATTCCAGAAAGACCTGGGTGGATAAGCCTTCCTATTGATGGATCAGGTGTCCCTCATCCCTGAGAATAGTTAACCTTCTGCTGTGTAGATTGTGTTCAATCTTCCTCTCATACTATAGCCCAAGTGGAAATTAGGACTAAAGCATGCAGGGCTGGGAGCAGGTAATCAACCAGAGTGTTTGCAGTCACAATCACTGACTTTCCACCTGCAGTACCACTCCATGTCAACATCACCAACTGTGAACAACTCTGCAAACCACCCAACATTTCTACAAGCTTACCTGACCAGTAGAAAGAGGGTGAACAGCAACAGACCTGCAAGCTGGTTTTGAGGTAACAAGGTGTAGAGCTGGATGAACACAGCAGGCCAAGCAGCATCAGAGAAGCAGGAAGGCTGACGTTTCGGGCCTAGACCCTTCAAACAGCTCTGGTGGACATTAAAATGGTATTCAGCCACACATATTTACAAGAGAACATTATCTGGAGCAGCAATATCAGTGTTGGTGTCACATTGGAGTTACATACTGACCAGCATTCACAATGTCAACTCTGCTTTCTTCTGGTGTGTGCTCCCAATATCCAGGGCAATACCTCAGTTGAGGTAATTTTCAGCATCACCATGCTGCAAGTGCACATGCACACAATGTGGCATTCAGTTTAGAGCCAAACTGGGGCCAGCAGTGCCAAAACTGCAAAGATAAATTTTGCAGGCAGAACATCATATGATATTCTGTCCCCTTTATGGACACAATGTCCTGTAGTGCACTCCTGGGATGGAGGGGTACTTAAAGGATTGAATATATTTGATCTGGTTTTTAATTCTCTTTAGCTTAACGTTGCGTGGTGACTTAATTGCCATCTTCAAGAAGTTAAATGAATTCAAGGGAATAGACATAGAGAAATTATTTCTTCTTGTGGGAGAGTACAGAGCAGAAGGGGAGATTCTTAACTGAGGACAGACTGCTCAGGAGAATCAAGAAGCATTGCTTTGTACAAACTGAGTGAAAACCTCAAATTCTCTCTCTCAGAAGGCTGTGGATGTTGGGGTCTCAAGTAAAATGTTTTGAGATTGAGATCAGTAAGTTTCGGTTGGGTGAGGCTACATAAAAGTGATGGCATCAAGTTTATAGGATGGCGTTAAAATGCAGATCAGTCATGATTTAATGGAATGGCAGAATAGGTTAAGGGGAAGAATAATTATCTCCTGTTCTTACCAAAATATAAAATTTACTCTTTGATGTTTTGCTATGAAATTGGGTTAACAGCAGAAACATGAACCTGAACCTGAAATCTGGAAGCACACTATAGTTTCTCAGTGTGTAGTCCTACACAGATGACACTGACAGTCACCCCCACAACTCCTCCTTCTTTATAATTGACCAAAGTGAATTTCAAATGAAAGGAAATACAGTAATGCTGACATTTCTGTACAGACATTCAGAAGCTACAAAGGACAGGGGGCATTGCAGTCAGTCAGAACATACAACACAATTAATCACAAAGCCAGCAACTGGAACAGCTGTGCAAGTAATTTACCTTCTATTGTTACTGTCTCCAACTCTCTGTCTACCTTCTTTTTTATCACGCTTTCAGCCTCCAAATTGTCAAACTACATGACATTTATGAGTCAGTTTAAGATTTTGATACCCTGAGAAAGCCTGAGTGAATTACAGAGAATCACATCAAATTTACAGCACAGAAACAAGACATTTGACCTCTCTAGTGTTTATATTCCACCTGATCCTCGCTCCCTTCTTCATCTAATCCTATCATTTTCCTTCTGTTCCTTTCTCATTCATAGACTTACCTAGCTTCTCCTTAGAGGTATCTCTGCTATATGCCTCACCTACTCCAAATGATAGATTTCATTCAATGTGTAAAGATAAACCTTTTGAATTTTTCATAGGATTTATGAGTGATTGTCTTATAAAGATCCTAATGCTGGAGTGACAACTGACCTAAGGCAGCAGTGTCTCTGAATCCAATCTTATTCCTGAATAGAGGGGTGAGATTAACATCCCACCCCCAACTTTGGTGGGAAGTTTCAAATTTGCACTTGATATTTGCAATTCTCTTAGAGATTTCCATCAGAAGTCCCAGCATCCCCTATGGTTAACCGGGTACAATTACTGTCCAATATCTAGTCTTGATGACAAGAAGAGCCAAAATAGTAAAACTCTTCAGTAATGAAAACAGAAAGTGTTGGAGGAACTCAAGAGGTCTGGCAGCATCTGTGGAGAGAGAAACTGAGTTAATGTTTTGAGTCTGATATGACCTCTTCAGAGCTAAGTTACATTAGATACTGTAATCCCACACTCGCCTCCACATTTATTTCCCCTCCCTTCCAAAAAGGGAACTGATAAACATCTTTATTCAGACACTTGTAACTGGGAATGATGTCCAAGTATTTCTCACCTCCCTTTTTATCCAATAGAATCTGACCAAGTTTAATGCAGGAAACTAACACTTGTCGGTCTAGTGTTTGAACAGGTATTTTGTGGATGCTGTTTCTCAATTCTGCAGTCACTCATTTGCCTTTCCCATTTCAATGGCACAGATGACTGTGTCTATCTCTGTAGACTGGTATATTAGCACTAATGGAATCCATTATTTTGTGATGCATTGTGAAGGAGTAATTACCATTTTCCACTTTAATGGTATAAGAACATCAAAATCAAATGGAATCCATCTGTGCAATTGCCAGTGACAAGATGGGCATCCCCAAATCATTCCTTCCAATTTACCTTGTCTTCCCTCTTATTCATAGGGATGCAGTGATTAAAAATAGCAAAATTGTTGAGTAAAATTGTAACATGAGTCACTGATAAGAATCTGTTTCTCTTCTTCAGGGAATGAAAGTTTAGCAGAAAATTATGTACAAGACAGCAAGATGGGTTTCATCATCAATGCCATTTATGCCATGGCCCACGGACTGCATGACATGCACAAAACACTCTGTCCAGGTCACTCCGGGCTCTGTGAAGCAATGAAACCTGTTGATGGCAAAAAACTCCTACAGTTTCTAATAAAGACTTCATTCATTGGAGTTTCCGGTGAGGAAGTGTGGTTTGATGAGAATGGAGATTCTCCAGCAAGGTAACATCAGCGCAAAAGGAAACTCCCCATGTGTTATTTGAGATTGATAATTTGGGATGAATACTTGGGGGGAGCATATTATTTGGCGATGTTTATTAGTTACATATTATTTGGGAGAGTTATTTGGAGGGTGTTGTTTTGGGGTGTTTATTTAACATAGGATCAAGAGTAGGCCATTTGCACCTTCGTGCCTGTTTCAACTTTGATGTGATCTGTAACCTTACTGTATGTACCTGCCTTCATTTCTTATCCCTTAATGTCTTAGATCAACAAAAATCTATCAATCTCAGATTTAAAATTAACAAGGATCAATGGCAGTTTGTGGAAAAGATTCCACCACCTTTTGAGAGTGGAAATGTATCCCACCTTCACTCTTGAAATAAAATACTCGACAGGCCAATATTAACTCTGCTTCTTGGCATCAACAATCCCTGACCTGTGGAATATTTCCAACATTTTTTGTTTTCATTTCAGATTGCCAGGATCTGTGAGGTTTATTTACTTCTGTATTTGTGTTAACTCCTGAAATACCTTGTTTTAATTCTTTTTGCCTATGTCCCATTGCCCTAGATTCTCCAACAAACGTAAATTGTTCATCTCAATCTACCCAACAGTTCCCCTTAATATCTTGCAAAATTTATCATCCTGTAATCATCTAAATTCCAGGGAAAACTGACAGTGCATTATTCTGTTTATGGATGTCATAAACTGAGATACTTGCTCATTTTCTCCTGGGCATAATCTTAAACTTATGGGTGTGAGAGAATGTTTATCGCTAGAGCAGAGAAGGCTCAGGGGAACCTGGTTGAGGTGTATAAGATTATGAGGGGCATGGACAGGGTGGATAGGAAGCAGCTGCCCCTTTATTTGAAGGGTCAGTTACAAGTGGGCATGATTAAGGTGAAAGGCAGGAGGTTTAGAAGTGATTTGATGATTTTGTTTTCAGCCAGAGGGTAATCGGAATCTGGAATGCACTGCCTAGGGAATGCACAGAAAACTTTACAACCCTTAAAAAGTACTTAGATAAGCACTTGAAATGTCATAACATTCAAGGCTATCGGCTAAGGGCTGAAAAGTGGGATGAATGTAGATTTAGGGATGTTTAATCAGTACAGATTTGATGGGCCAAAAGGCCTCCCCTGTACTATGACAGGCTGTATTTTGCTAATGTTCCTTCAAAGACACTAGAATTTATTCTAATTGTCATTCATCTGTAAACTTTCAATAACAACATTTCCACAATAAATTAGGTCAGTTAACACATACAGAAGGGATAGCTTTGATACCATTAATTAAAGATGAAATGACTGAATATCTAGACAGAGAGAAATGGGTTCTAAGCAGCCAGCACATATTTTGGAGAAATAGGTCATGCATAAGAAACCTGATGGCATTGTTTGAGGAGGTGAAAGATATGATAGAGATGGGACAGGGCATAGATTGTAATCTATATAAACTTTGACAATTCTGTCACAAGGAACAAGACAGGAGAAGATTAAAGGATTTTGAATTAAGGGAAGTATAGCAAGTTGGATTAAAAACTGGTTTTCAAGGGAAAACAGAGCCTAGGAGTTTTGGGCAGTTGTTTAGACTGTTTGGAAGTAGGTAGTAGTGGTTCCATAGGGTTCAGTTCTGCAGCCAGTCTAGTTCACTTGGCATATCAATGATCAACTCAATATGGAAGACTGAAGTCCTTAAAATGACCACTGCCCAAGGGTCCCTGTCAACTCGAATATGGATTCTCAGCAATATTGCAATGACAAGATCTTCATGTTTTCATTGTTGACTGACAGTTTGAAGAAATTGAAAATGACAAGCAACAGGAAATTTTACACAGAATTTCACAGAATGTACAGCACAGACACAAGCCTTTTGTTCCAGCTGCTTCATGCTAATGCTTATGCATGACATTATCCCTTTTCACCAACCATGCCATCATATCCTTCTATTTTTTTGGTCCTGGTGTTTATCAATCTTTCCCTTAAATTCATCTATGTTGTTTGTTTCGAATGCTCTGTGTGGTAGCAGTTCTGCATTCTACACTCTGAGTAAAGAGGTTTCCTCCCTGTTAGATTGTTAGTCATCACTCTTTCCTCATAGTACTCCTCACTTGTCATTGGAAATTCCACAAATTCATAACCGTGCATGTGACCTTCTGCTCTTTCTTGGGGATATCTGTTTAGTAAATCAGAGCCAGAGTTTGAAGCAAGCATAGACGATGTGGGTTTATCATCTCATAGTAGAATCTGTAAATGCTATACTTCAAATCAATGTTTTGGGAACCAGTCATTATTGATCTTCAAGCACGATTATTACTATAGGTTATAAAATCTCTAATTTTTAAATCATTTTGAAGGCTCAAAAGAAGCAAAAGTTTCATGTACTGCATTTTACATTTTTGGCTGTGTCACTTTCATTGACTTTTGTTGAGGGTTTCTCATCATGAGGCCTAGGGATCTCTCTTACTAAACTCATCTCAAGAATTACCTACCACCCAACTCGAACCCATTCTTACCATTCCTGGAACAACTCACCGCTCCCGGGATATCCCAGAATTTACGGGCATCCCTAGCACTAGCACCAATTTAAAAGTTCACTGTGCACTCAGACAAGCACTGTCAGTCCAGAGCTGCCCCGCGCATTCGTGACCTTCAGCCCGCACCTGACAGACAAGAAGAAATTGGTGCCCCACATTCAAGCAGAGACTTGGAAGTGCTGCTAGCTGAGGTGCTGCACAAATAGAATGTCTTCTACCCCCACAACCAGCAGATGAAACCATGACTCCAGGCATGCCAGCCTGGTCCAGTGCTGCGTCAGCCATCTGGATGAATGCACAGCATCATAGGAGGAAAACAAACAACCTTCTCCACTCCGCCAACGCAACAGCCATCATCTTATTTCCAATACCTCACACACACTCTATCTCTGTTACTTTACCCAACTGTCGCCAAGGCCTATGCTCTACTGCCCTCATTACTGCTGCAAACTCTTCTCTCACTCACTCTCACCCACCTGAAGCCCCAACACCATTTGCCATCTACACTGCCTATTCGCTCATCCAGGTCACCTCCCCACCTTTACCAGCACTAAAAGCTGAAACCACCCTCTTTCATCTCCCTTAATGGCTGTTTCTTCCTCAATTTAGAAGGAAGGCAGACTACAGTACAAGCCCCTGTACTGGTGCAAGAGGCTGCCCTTGACTGACTGAGCTGGGACACCTCCCCTGACTGAAGACTGTCCCCCTTGACTGGAGTGAGGCCTCCTGACAGCCAGGACATGCTTCCTGGCTTTATTTTATGTTAAGTGGCAAAGCAACGTGGCATTACAGTGATCCTGACATCTCCAACAGAGGGACGAAGCACAAAAGGTATGGCAGGGCAAGGCAAAGCTGGGATGCTGAGATGCTGGATTCACCAAGTACCTGCATCGACTTCCACAGTGAGAACTCCCGGTATCCTGTTCGCTCACAGTGGGTGGTAGGATTGGAAGCTGCATATTGGTGACTAAATAAAGTCATTAACAAGCAATAATCACCTTTAATAGGTAACATCCTGCTGCCAAGTGACACTCTTGCTTCAATGCCCAGAACTGTTAAAAGTTGCAGCAAAATGTTTCTGACGTTGAGACATCCCGGGCGATTCTGTCACATTTCACTATTCCATTCACCGAAGCTTTCAGGTGGGGCCTTCCAAATTCACTTCACCTTTTAATGCTCTTCATAAGTGGTGTGGCAGGATTCTCACTCGGCAGTGGCAAGATGTCAACTGACAGGGATTACTATTTAATAAATAGCTTGTTTATGCCGCAACTTGCCTTAATATTCAGCCTCCCAGCTTACCAAACTCACCAACAAGCTCAATGTTGGGAAAACTCGGCAAGGAAACCAGAGTGAGCACCTGGCACGTTCAGCTCACCCCTTGCTCTGAACAACCTTCACATTGGGCATTGGGCATTAATATCTCATGGTATGATCCAGGCATCAGCCACACATAACTTTATTGTGGATATCGGCATCTGGGATATGCCATCCCTCACAACTGTCGCAGCACCTCTCTGATGCACTGGCAGGCTGCTCAGGAAGCACAGACCAGCAGTGCATGGTGCATCAGCAATGAGCATTGAAAGGCTGCAGCAAGGACCCCTCATGGACATGGACATTTTGTGCACACGGATACTTGTTGGACATGGAGACTTATTGGACATGGAGACTTGTTGGACGTGGAGGCTTAGTGCACATATAGACTTAGTGCACGTGGAGACTTAGTGCACGTGGAGACTTTGCACACATGGGCAGGCACCCAGCTCACAGAATGGAGCATGCTGAATCTCAGGGCTGCTCATTCACTCTCTTAGCACTCACTCACTTTTTGTGTGTCGTGAACTATCCATGCCAATCCTGACGACGCCATGCCTGCTAGAGTGTTGGCACTTCAGCCAACTGCTGTTCTGAGTACTGTTTAGTGCAGATACACGGATAGGCTACTTGTCATGTTTGTCAGTGTGGAACTGTTCTGTGGGTGGAGTGGGGATGGGGTCATCTTGGTGAATGGCACACTGAGACATCAAGCTAACACCTACAGCACATGCCAGCTGCTTGCGCAGTGACACACTGCACCAAATGGCAATGTTGGAAACTGGTGGGGGTTAGTCCTCAACACAGCCAGGATGGTACCTCTGTCAATCAGGGGGCTTTGGTACTGTCAGTCACACAACAGTCCGCACACAGTTCAAGGACTTTGACACATTCAGTCATCCTGTTGGGAAGCTCATCGTCAGTGGATCTGTCCCAATGCATGCTGGGGAGCGCTTAGCGGTCAGTCCTGAAAGGCCAGCCTGAGCAGTCCAGTCTGGAACCGTGTATTGTCAGGAAGGGAGCTGCAGGGACAGCATTGTGAAGGGAAGCCATTGTCCAGGCAACTTCCAAGTTGTTTGAGTCACATAACTTCCAGCCCTCACCTATCATGTAAAGGTCTTTATTGTGCTGAATGCAGAGTGAAGTTTAGTGTTTGATGTGGGTTCAGGTTGGGCGGATGGTGTTGTGGTACTGGCAGTCCCTTTGCAATGACATATCTGATGCAGACATGTCCCCGGTATCTGCAGTCAGCATCTCTCACTGTGTGGTGAAATGTACGTATCCGGATGTATCTACAGGGTATGCCACCACTGACTGTTGTGAGATCGAAGGAAATGTTTCACTCTTTTTGTGCCCAATTTATGTCTCTCCCACTGAGCGAGATGGGCTCTGTCGCTGATGGGGATATTGCTCTTTGTGGCAGACTATCAAAGAACATGATGGTGGATACAGGAGAAGTAGGACAGACAGCAAGCTCAGGAGCAGCCACAAGCCCCCATGTAGGACTATGAGTACCCAGCTCAGGGAGCATGGGATGTGCAGGTAGACCTCAGAGGTTTTCGGGACCAACTCTACTTCTTAGACATAAGTGAGGCCCTGTGCGAATCCATTTGTCCTAGGGCACGGTGATGGAATTGTGCTGGATGATGGAGCAGGACATGGAGGTTCCAGGACGGGGAGGCCATCCTCTCCCAGTGACTGTGGAAGTCACTGCAACACTCACCCACAGCGTGACTGGCTCCTTCCAAGGAGGGATGGGTGACCTGCATGTGATCTCTCAGCCAGGCACCCACAAATGCAGCCCTCTACTCGCGTCAAAGTCTGTTGATTGCTTTTTTTCTTCTCGTCATTCTTTCATAGAAAATAGGTGTCACTACCAAGGCCAACATACAATGCTCATCCCTAATTGCCCTTGATTTGAGTGGCTTACTTGACCATCTCAGAGGGTAGTTAAGAGGGCAATTAGCCACGATACTGGGGGTCCAGAGTTACATGTTGTCCAGGCCGGGAATAGACTGCTGATTTCCTCCCATCGAGGACATGAGTGAAGCCAATGGGTTGTTATGATGATTGACAATGGTTTAATTGTCACCATTACCGTGCCTGGCATTTGTTTTAAATCCCAGATTTATTAAAAACAAATTGAAATTCCATCAGCTGCCATGGTGGGGTTTGAGGCCCTCACCCCAGAATGTTTGTCTGATCTGTTGGATTACTAGTCTAGTGACTTTACCATTGTGCCACCATCTCTCTTGTAAATTAATTAATAGAAATTGATTGTTAACAATAGACAACTGCTCAAGTGATAGGGTGATTGAATCTGAATGAGATGGACCTTGGTCTTTCTACATCTATGTTCCCATAGTTATCAGGTACACAGACTATGCCATAGAGTTTATGCTTCTTTTAATTCCTTAGAATGATATATAAACTAGACTCTATGTAACCTACAGCAATATATGCATTGAGACCTACTATGACTGGTTACCAAGACATTGATTTGAAGAATAAAAAACAAGGATTCAACAAAGTGCTCACAAAAATCATCGTCAGCCACAAGCTCTGGCTATGATTTATAAACAGATGTTCCCAAAGAAACAGTAGAAGAACGTGTACAAGGATATAAATTTGGTAATATTGTACGCCAGAACGTTCCAGCACAAATAAATGATTCTAATCGATATGTACTAGACAGATACATTAGGCTGTATATTGAAAGTGTAGGACATTGTCTGCCCAGATCCTTTATTGGAACTCAACATAATATCAATGCAAATTGAGAGGAACGGAGGTTCAGATGGAGTTGTGCCAACATGGCTAAAATTGAGAAGACCAGAAATATTTGGAGGTCAGAATCCATTTCCTTTACAAGCAGTCTGCTCGGGTTATCTTTTGGAGTGAGGGAAGAATAAAAACCCGTCAGGTAACTATCATAAATGAATCACCTCGATTTTCTACACCACAGAGGATTCCGTCACCACCTCCTTAGTTGCATTTTATCTTCCCTGCCAGAGCTTAGAATTTTGTCTCTCAATGGAAGCATAAACTGAGTCAC